TTGTGTTATAGCTTTATTCATACCTTTGTTACGTGTAGCTTTATTAATTTATTTTATTTATAGCTTTATTCATAAATTTGTATGTTATTTATAGCTTTATTCATAAATTTGTATGTTATTTATAGCTTTATTCATAAATTTTATGTTATTTATAGCTTTATTTATAAATATAGGTGTTATTTATAGCTTTATTTATAGCGTTATTTATAAATTAATATGTTATTTATAGCTTTAGTCATAAATTTATCTTATTTATAGCTTTATTTATAAATTTATATGTTATTTATAGCTTTATTCATAAAATTTATAGCTTTATTAATAAATTTCTGTTATTTATAGCTTTATTCATAAATTTTATGTTATTTATAGCTTTATTCATAAATTTAAATGATATTTATAGCTTTAGTAATAAATTTGTATCTTATTTATAGCTTTCTTCAGAAATTTATATCTTATTTATAGCTTTATTCATAATTTTGTTATTTATAGCCTAAGGCCTTCAATCCTTCTCCTGGGTGGTAATGCCCATTAGTCCCTCCTTCGTGCTAGCCAGTTAGCTTGCACCGGAGACCACAGCGTGTACTTTAAGAAGCATGTCGACAAGCCATGAGTAAGGCTGGTATTTCACCCCTGAACTGCATCTTTTGTACTTGATAAGGACTTGCTGTGGTGTTCCCAGCTCTCTTTTCACGGGTTGTTTTTGCTCCTCAACAGGAACTGTGGGAACGTGTTTTGTGCTGCTTGCTGCCACCTGAAGTTGCCCATCCCTGATCAACAGTTGTATGACCCTGTCCTCGTTTGTAACTCCTGTTATGACCACATCCAAGTCTCTCGTGCCAGGGAGCTCATGAGCCAACATCTGAAGAAGCCCATCGCCACAGCTTCCAGCTGAATGCCAGCACAAGGGACCTGTCTAAGCCCAGCCTTTCCTCTCGTGGGTTTGACGGGTGACTGCCTCCACTGTCATTGTGAAGGCCTTTGATGCAAGGCTTGAACACCAAGCTTGAATGCATTGTCTTCAGCAGTCTTAACTATCAGTCTGGAGCAGAGGAGCTCAGATTAGAGAGTATGGTGTGTGTGTCCCCACGCTGGTACCATTGTAGCCTTGACAAGCTAGGGCTAAAGAGGGGATTGCAACCTCTTTCTTTTGTGGGCTGGAAAACAATGTTTTCACAGATAATGCCCATTCAAAGTGCCCCGAAAGCAATAGAAAGGCATGTTTAGAACCAACTCCCACTGCGAAGGTTGGCTGCTGTGTGAGGAGGAAGAGGGCAGGCTCCAGTGGTGCCATGGGCGGTGGAAGGGCCTCAGGCCGGAGCAGCTCTGTGGATTCTCTTTCCGTGAGTGTGATTTGCGATCAGCTCGGTGAATAAGACTCATCAGCCATCACTAAGGGATCTTCTCTCGTGCGTTGAAGAGAAATTCACCGTGGCTGAAAACGGGCCCACCAGATCTTGCCCGTTTCCATGCTCCGCTGGAACTGGTGAACGCACTTGACTCTGCCCCTGCCCCCAGCACTGCGGGGAGATGGGAGGTTGGCTTTTCAGTTCTGCTCTGCCCGTCTGCTTGTCTGCGCTCATGTCACAGCCTGGTGCTATCAGGAATGGCACTCTGATCCTCTCCTGGCACGGAAACAGAACTCATGTACCTCTGTTGTTCCTCCTCCCCTCTTCTGCCCTCAGTTCTCCACTTCCTACTGCTCTTTATCCTGAAAACTTGATACCTTGAGGGTACAGGCCATAATGTGTTGTTTTACCTCCGGGAATGTGCTGTCTGGTGTATGTGAGGGTTTCAGTTCAAATGCTGCTATATATTTCTGTGCACTTAATGTAACCCGAAGAAGGGAGAATGAAGCATCGATACCAAAATGGGGATGGGGAAGGACACTGGCTCACACAGACACTGCGCTCTGTGCTTTTCACTTCAGCAGGTATAGCCAGGCTGCAGTGATCAACAGGACACGTGCATCTGTTCAGTGGTGGAAACGATCTCTCCGACTTACCCCAGCGCTACCTAAAATGCCTCTTGAATTTGACTTTTTTTGTTTCCTGTACAGTGGTCAAAGTTCAGAGTTGCCAACTTGTAACTGCCTCTCTGCTTCTTGAAACCAGAGAGCCGGAATCCCAACTCACTCTGAGGAAGAGGAAGTGGGGTTAGAAAGAAAAAAGGTTTAGGAAGAAGGTGGGCTTTGGGTGGGCTTTTAATCCCTAGATCCCTTGGAGAGCTCCCGTCCCACCTCCTTTCTAAGAGATCTGTGGTGTTAATGAGGAAGAAGAGTTTCAAAGTGGGGATTTCTCTGCAGAAATGCAGAGGTGTGCTCCAGCTAAATGAAAATGTCTGATAAATTCTGCACCTCAAGAGCTGAGACTTTGTGTGTGTGGGGAGGACGTGTGAGGATGTTTGCTTCTACTAACCAGGCAAAGTACTTGATGCTGTTGTGATCTCCCAAATTCTTTGCTAATGGTTTGTCATCTCTGTGGGAGGGAGTGTAATAACAACCCTTGCCTGCACTTTGATATGTCAGCCTCTGGTTTTGTACATCCCAATAGTGCAAGCAAAGCCAGCATCATCTGAAGACCCTGTACTTCCTTGGACTCTGCTTCTTTTCCATACTGGGAACAACCAAGATGGCTTTGGGAAGAGAAGGCACCTTGCTTCAGATTCTTCCCTGCCTTCTACCGTGCAGTCATTGCCAGACATGGGAGAGTGCCCATTGGGCTGGCAGAAGAAACTGGATTTGCTCCTGTTTTGCACGTGTTGGAGTGACTGCATGCGATGGGGAAGCCAGAAACTAGGTACTCCTGGCCCTTTCGTTCAGGCCGTTAGTCCAAACTGCTTTTAGCTCTCGTGAGTTCAGCGTCACAATGTGCTGGCCAAAAACCTCTAAAATCAGTTCCATAGCATTGTGACAAACAAAATGTGCTGTACAACTCAATGCAGTCGAAATAAAATCTCTATATTAGTGCTGCTGTGTTTGGGACCCATCCTTTTGTTTGTGCTGAATTCTTCTCATGGTGTTTCCCAGGCTGCTGGCACTTGCTGCCTCTCCCCTTGACGAAGGTACTTTAGGGATTTAATATTCCATGTCACAAATCAGAGTGAAAGGTAGGACACGCAGCCCCCTGTGCTATGGTCTCCTACGCCGAGGCCCCACACGCTCTTCCCAGCAAACACGCAGCTGCCTGGGACACCAGCCTCTTCCAGCCTCGCCTGCAATGACCCAAAAAGGGATTTTTCTTTCCCAGGGAAGGACTCGGACAGGAAGCACCAGCTCTTGACCTCCACATTTATACCAGATTTTGTCTGCTACTTTAATGGTTGTGTTCTGCGCTGCAGAAAGATGGATGGGGACCATCGTGCTTAGCTTGATGTGCCAAGGGACATGTTGGGAAGTTACAGTTTGTGGTTGAGCTGGAAAGAATCTTCTAGAAAGCCTGTCATGAATTTAAAGCCCCCAAAGATCTTGTAATTAAGCAGATGCTCTGGTAAACTAGTACTACAGTTCAGGTCAGTGTTCATATTAGACAGGTGCTACAGAAACCTCATAGCAGCCTTCCAAATGCCTGAAGGGACCGATAAGAAAGTTGGAGTGTCCTTTAAAGAAGAGCCTGTAGGGACAGGCCAAGGGGAATGGCTTTAAGCTGCCAGAGGGGAGACTGAGATGAGCTCTCGGGCAGAAGCTCTTCCCTGTGAGGGTGCTGAGGCGCTGGCACAGGGTGCCCAGAGAAGCTGTGGCTGCCCCATCCCTGGCAGTGTTCAAGGCCAGGTTGGACACGGGGGCTTGGAGCAAGCTGCTCCGGTGGAAGGTGCGGGTGAGGCTGCCCCGGCGCGGGGTCCCCCTCAGCCGCCGGGCCCGGGCCGGGGCCGCGCTGCAGGCGGGCGGTGCGGCGGGAGGGGGAGCCCGAGGCCCCGGCCGCGGCGGCTCCACCCTCGCTGTGTGTCCCAGGTAGGAGAGCGCGGCCGCCACCGCCCCGCGGGCCCCGCCGCTCCGCCCCCGCCCCGCGCTCGGCCGAGGAGCGGCCTCCGCGGAGCCGGTGTCCGGCGGCCGCAGCCCCCGCCGGGCCCGCAGCCCGCCCCGCCGCCGCTCCCGGCCCAGCCCGGCCGCCGTCCTCCGCCGCGCGCCCGCAGCCGCGTCCTGCGGCGGGAGCAGCACCCGGCGCGCTGCACGAGCCTTCCCGAGCCGCTTCGGCTCCGTCCTCGGCTCGGCGGCTGCCTGCGGACACGTCGCCTCCAGCCGGGCCGGCCCCGGAGCTCGCTGTCGGCAGCAGCGTTCCCCTTGGGTCTCGCTGGAGCCTCTCTGGGGCTGCGGAGCTCCACTCGCACTTACCTGCCTGCCTGCTGCCGGCCGACGGAGACCAGCCCTCGCCCTGCTCTGAACACTCGCCTTTAGTAGAAATACCACAGCTTTTCGTTTTTCTCTGTGAATTTAAGACCATCACCAGACCCACGCGCTTTTCTCAAGCTACTGCAAATCGCTTTTGCCCGGGATTTACAGCAGCGTTTCCCGGCCCCGGCTGCCCTCCAGCCGGCAGCAGCCCAACAGGTTGGAGGAGCTTTTCTCTTTCCTTTTTCTTTCCAATCCCTTTTTTTCTCCCCTTTGCAGCAATCGCTGTAATTTGCTTTAATTGACAACATCATCTGCGCGAATCGTGCCAGCCATGAAGTTTCCTCCTCGAAACGTTTCGTGGGACCTGCTCACAGACCAGGGAACTTCATTTTTTATTCTGTGGGGCCTTTAATCGGGTTCTTCATGTGCGTTTGGAAGTGGCTGCACAGAACTAGTGGGAGAGGAACCAGATATACTGTCACCTTGTGCTTCATACGTATTTGGCATCTAAACTTTTGAAGTGTTTTGGGGGCCTTTTTTTTTTCCTGGGAACTTGAAGCTATGAAGAGAAGCTCTGTGCTTTATTGATTATTCTGAGTAACTTCACTCTGCGTCTGGATGTGGATTACCAGGAGAGAGGTAATGTTGAGCTCCAAATTTGAATGAAGGCAGTAGAAGGATGGAAGTGATCAGCTGCGTGTGCGAGAGAACAGTACCAGAGGAAATGTTCTTTTCACTGTAAGTCCAAGAAATCCCTCCTGCATTGTTTCTGGGAAGAAGACTGGTAACTGCCAACGACAGCGAAGGCAGAGAGCTTGAGCTGCCTCTGTGGGAAATGCTGGCAAGAAGCTGAGAGGTCTCACAAGGTTGTTTGGGATAGACATTTTGGACCTGTGGATCTTCCTAACACTTGGTCAGGAGACACGAGAGCACCATGTCTGCGGCGACACCTCCCCGTATTTCATCTCTGTGGGACTGACAAGTTCCTCATGCTCCCCGGTGTTCCTGTGTATCTGAACTGATTTCTTGCAACCTGTTCCTCTGATCTTTCCTGATTTCTGTGCTGGGGGAGGGACTCACAATTTAGGATATATATTCTTTTTTTTTTTTTAGCCAGTTTGTTGGTTTAAAATATGCCTTTGAGCTCCCAGCGGGCCTTTGAGCACGTGGCACCAAGGAAGAGAAGCAGTGATGGCGAGACCCGGAGCAGTGTCCTGGTGAGCAACGCTGGCGGTGACTGAGCCCCTCTTTCCTGTGTCTCCTGCCTCCCTGTCGCTGGGACACACGCTCGGAACCCCGACAAGCTTTGCCGACGGCTGGAGCCCGCCGCAGGGTGAGGACGCGTTCCCGAGCGGTATGTGTGGCCGGAGCCCGCTGCTGCAGCTGGTAGCATGAGTGCTGGCCCCCCGCTGCAGCTGGCTGTCCTCTGGCCGTGGCTGCTCATGGCGACCCTGCACGCAGGGCTTGGCCGTACAGGGCTGGCGCTAGCGGCGGCGGTCGAGTCGGAGAGGTCGGCAGCGCAGAAAGCCATCATTAGAGTGATCCCCCTGAAGGTGGAGCCCATTGTGCTGGAAGGGGAGTTTGCAAACGTTGCTGAGGTGACTCCAGCCGAAGGAAAACTGCTGCAGGTAAGAGCAGCCGTATGCAATCCAGCTCCATCTGCCCCACTGTCCTTCTCTGGTCCTCTCTCCCTTTTTCTGTTCTTGCTGTTTCAGCTCTTGGCTCAAGGCGTTTGGTTTTATTTTCCAACTGCAGCAAGTAGGCATTTCTCACATGAATTGTCCACCTGTGTGTGTTGTTCCTTTGTGTTCCTGCCCCCCAAGCCGTGCTTGCTCCTGTGAGGGGGACGGGATGATGCATAAGGCTGCTTCTTCGTTTGGTCTCGGTCTGTAGGTGCGCTTGTGTCAGAGTTGAATTTTGGATATGGTCGGTTGATTCCTCACAGGTTACTGCATATCTTACTTGATGTTCTAACCCTGAGTGTATCGAGACACAGGTGGGACACTGAGCACCTGACAGAAACCAGGATTTTATAACATTTTATTTGGTGTGAAATCCATCAGTTTTTCTGCACACTTCTGCTGGTAGCTGGGCTTGTGGTACAGCTAAAATACACAGCCAGGCTTTGCCCACCTCAGTTATTGACCCTGCTCATTGTTGTCTTTTGTACTGCCTGTACCTGAATGTTGAATTGTGCCCATAGAGCAGTTCCCATGATGTCAGCACCAAATGTTTTTATAAGTGAAATTAATGCTGGTTTCTGACCTGTGCTAAGGAGAGAGCATCTGACCATCCTGCCGTGAGGTGCAAATGCTGCCAAAAGACAGCACTGAGCTGGTCGTGAACAGACCAGCCTCCTGCCTGTGACAAGTTTTGAGTTTGGTTTCTTGAGACCTGGTGCGTTCTCTCTTGTTTCTGTTGGGAATTTGCTTGGCAGTTGTGTGCTTTATTCTTGAAAACAAAACCCAACAGAATAGCCTGTGTTAATATGGAATCTTCATTTTTACATAGCTTTTCCCAGTCTTCACTTCCCAAATGTGGAATGTTGTAATTTTAATCAAATTTGTAGCTGGGAAATTTAAATGAAGGTAAGAAATTGGGTATAGTCTCGTAAGGAATACAGTCAAGTCAGCTTTAGAGCATGGTCACCTGTCTGCAAATGGGAGCGGGCAATGTGTGTCATTTATAAAGCCTGTTTTTTCCACGCCTTTTTAACTACTCAGAACAAAAGCTGTGCTGTAAAACTATATTGCCAGGCTAGAAGAAAAATCTTAGCCAAATATACTCAAGGTCCTGTTCGGTCGTGAGGCAACGTCCAGGAAAGTCAATATTTATTCCTTACAAAAACTACAGTGGTGTTGCAACTGAGCACAAAGTGTAGAGCGTGGACCTTTTTGAAAGGAGAAGGTGATAACTTGGGTTGTGGGATGTGTGGATGTTTTTAACCAAATCCAGTGCTACATGGTGGGATTTTTGTCTCACTGGCTGTTGCAGCAACACAAATGAGGCATTTTGAGTGCTGAGCCCTGAGTAGTGTTGGATTTACAAATGGACTTTGTGCTTTAAAACTCATCCTCAGTATGAGAGGGCTGGGGAAACGCTAATCTAATCTGCTGAGTTTGTGTACACAGATACTAACCTGCACTGTATATGTTTTTAGGCCTTGGTTCCACCACTGTGCGTGCATAGGTGATCATTCCTATTCCATATCCCACTGAATCCAGTGCAGAAAATCACTCGGGTCTGGTTTCAGATAGCAATGTTGGGATCGGGGGGTCAGGCTGTGCCTGCTGCAGCAGGATGTTTGTCTGGTGCCAGGCACGGTGTTCTGGGAAGGCTTAGTCAAGTGTACCTGTGACCTCTTGTGTATGTCGTATGGTGTAGTTTCTAATTCTGCACTGGGGTGCAAGATAAGTAAGAAGTTAACGGGAGGAACTATTTTTAGTTTGCATTTAAGTAGTTGGATATTAAATACACCTGAGTTAATTAGGTTTTATTGGGACATCTCATTTTACATCTGGTCGTCAGCATCCCAGTCTTGCAAAAATTTTAAGCCATGTGCTCAACTTTAATGTCATTGGAACTCTCACCTGCCTGTTCACACCTACCTGCACAATTGGTTCTTTATATGCCATTCAGATATGTAATGTGATTATCTTTGAGGTTAATGAGTTGAGAAGTCTTGGTCTTAAACCATTTTTGGATAGGTCTTCTTGGTTGTGTCTGTAAGATGCCATCAATTCTCCTGCCATTCACAGGAGAATAGAAACTGCAGAGCTGAGCTTAGCAAAGCAGAGTGGGTGATCCAGTCCTGGTTTTGGAAGAGTGCTCTCTTATTTCAGTGGTATAATAGGATTGCTTAAGGATAAGTGTTAGCCCTATATTCAAGTGAAGTTCTCTTTAACTTATAATTATCTTCAGAGTGTTCTGGTCAATATATTTTTAGAAATGCATTCTTCATGTAATACAGAAAATCCTGCATGGAAATAATGGAACCTCAACCAAACGTCCTTCTACCAGAACACTTTCTTGGTTTCATTTCTCTCTGCTGTGCTCTCTGGGATCATCTATAGAGATGGACTTTGATCACAGTGTGTTCTTTTCTTAGAAGCTAACTTTAAAAGTACCTTCTTTACCTATATCAAAAGAATCCCTGTGTCGAGCTCCTCCTCGCACCCCTCACTGCTGTGGCCAATTCTGCTGGGAGGTCTCTGGATTTCCAGTTTTGCAGTGGTGGGTGAGCAGGTGGATCTGCAGCGCTGCCCAGGACCTGCCTGCTGCCTGCCCCTTCCAGTTCAACCCAGGCAGCGTTACCTCTGGCACTCCACTCCATGCGGGATGATGCAAAGGCAGAGGAATTTCTCAAGTAGGCAGAGCCACTTAAGGCTTTATAGGTCAAAAAACCAACACCTTAGACTTCTTACAGAAATCATCTTCAAGTTTGTTCAGAGCTCAGGCTTGTTCAGATAGTACATGCTCTGAGCATTAACTATTGCTTAAAATGGGAAAAGTAGTGTGGTGAACTAGTCGCCAATTTCCAAATAGCTGGAGCTTTAGATCTCTGCTGAGCCCTCTGCAATAGCTTGGGCTTCTGAAAAAAGTCCAAGGGAAGAAAATGTCCCTGTAGTAACATGGAAGAGCCAAACCTTTCAGACAAGTAGGTTGGAAAAAACATGTTTAGATCTTACTGATAGCGGGCAGCCCCTGAGCAGTGAAGGACTCACCATGCCCTCTGAATTGCAGTTCCTAGAGTCATTTGCAGATCAACTCCCTTTAAGATGATGAATAATGAAATTTTCACAGCCTCTCCTTCTGATCTTTATGCTGTTCTGTCAGCTGGTTTTTGAGGAATGAATCTTGGTTTCCTTCTTGCCCATGCCTCAGTCTCCAGTTAGTACTGGAGAGAGCTGTTGGTTTGAAGATAGATGGGAAAATAAGGAACATCTTGGAAAGAAAAGGAGTGAGCCACTGTAGAGACTTGAAAGAAAGAGATGGAAGATTTATCCAGTTCGAATTGCAACAGAATTCACATGCAAATGTAATTGTGGATGAAAAAACCTTCTTATTTGAGAAATAGTTCAGCACTTACAGTTTATTTTAGTAAAGTGCACATGCAAGCATACATCATTGAAAGTGAGCATTAGTATCTCTTCATTTCAGTGAATATAGCCCCAATCTTGTATGCAATGGAAGGGTGATGCTGTTAGCATGTGCAGTGTGGCTGGGATCATTACAGTCTCTAGTTCTAGGGATAGTATTCTAGAAGCAATGTTTAAAGTTTGGGAAAATTTGCAAAAAATGATGTTAAAAAGAGATAGTAAATACAGCAGTTTGAGTTTATCTATAAAGGCAAAGTGATACTCAATCACAGATCACCTTACATGCCTATGTGTAGAAAAAACACGTAGATACGTAGAACAGCAGAACAGTCTTATTTATCAGGCAAAAGTATAGAACCAGTGTTCCCAAATTACATTATTTTATCACAAGTTCCACAACACTGCTTCATTTCTGTATAATCTTTACAGTTCTATGGGTGATTGTAGGAGAAAGTAAACTTTCACTTACCCACTGAGCACATTGTTTCAACTTATTTCTGCAGGGAAAACCCTTGTGAACACAGAACAAGCTCCTAAAGGCTCCGAATGGCAAAAGCAAGGATTAGCCTCTTTCCTCTCCTCCCCAAAGAAATGAATGATTTCTAAAACTTATTTTTTAAAATCAATCTTCTATTTATGGTGGAATGAGTGGGAATTATGGGAGGATCCCAAATCATCACTGTTTAGGTGTGTGCGACTCAGAAACTGAAAATCAGACATAGCTATATCCGGAAGAGAAGCATGTGTGTATTCAGAACAGTGTTAATTAACCCTTGAAATAGTTGCAGTGAACCCCACATGATCATCCTGGAAATGGAGAGTGTTTCCAATGTGGCAATGCACAATGCTGTTGGAGAATTATAATCACCTCCTTAACTGCTTATAGAGGGTAACACTCCCAGCCCATAAGAAAGTAAATATATTAGTAGTCTTCTATACTACTAGCTCCTGGATCAACAAAGGGATGTGGAGTGCATAATGTTGACAGAGATCAAAGAAGTGGTAAAGTCTAACTAAATGATAATGGAGACTTAAATTACCTGTGAATAAACTGGTCCGATAGCACAATAAGAGTAAGTTCAAAGAAGCAATTTCTGCCTCTTGGAACAGCTAGTACTAGGGTACACAGAAACATATTCTTGACTTTGTGTTAAGCAGTGTGCAAGAACTGACTCAAAAGCTGGCAACAACTGAGCCCCTTCTATTTGACTGCAGCGTAATAAAATTCTTTGCCCAAGTATCAAAAAGTGGAATTCTGACACTAACCTTTAGAACAGGAAATTGCACTAAAGTGCAGCAGCAAGATTAATGGCTCTTACAGCTTAAAGAAAAATATCTTTAGATGTGGCATAGGTACTACTCAGGACAGGAAAAGCATATGGAAAAATAGAAAGCATTGTCTCAAAAAGGCAGTAGTAACCCAATACAGATACATTGGTAGGGTTCAAGAAATCATTTTGGACAAACAGTTCTTTGAAGAAATGGATGTATAGTATTAGTGTAGGACTGGCATTGTATTTAGTGTAACC